CCCCCCGAAGCTAACCGAACCATCAGAACTCACTTCCGAGCCTTCTAACACATAAGTCAACATCCAATTGACTTTTCCAACCTAAGCCTTCTTAAAAGAGACTAAGTGTCTCATTTCTTACCAAATCCTCTCCGAACTCGAACTAATAAACTCGATCACATAAAACACGGATAACAAAGCGTAAAGAAGCTGAAATGGAAGAAATGGAACGGTATCTCATGAGACGACTGGCTGGGTCGTCACTGGCTCGAAGCCATTTATCTTCGACTACTTACTTGTTTGTTCTTTGTTTATCACTTGGTACTGGCCCGAAGCCGTCTTCATATCCATCACCTTTTTACTTGTTCTTCAGTATATAGCTCAGTATTGGCCAAAAGAGCCTTATCTAATTGTATCTTTGACTGTTATCCCATCCCCGATTGCCCCAGATAGCTTGAGCTCGACTCGAACCTTGGCACCGAGGTCCTCTCCGGCCGGTCTTGCATCCAAGCAACAGACCCCTTCGGTTTGATTACTGCCTCATTTTAGCTCGCACTTCATCATTAAACTTCACGTTCTTAGCATCATCTGCTCTAACAACTAGCTCGAAAATAGATCACATATTTTTAGAATCCCATTAACAAATTTAATTATTGTTACTATTTTCATGGTAAACAGTTTGGCGCCCACCGTGGGGCTAAAAATAATAGTGACTATTTTCTTGCTAGTTTCGTTGCAAAAATGCAAGTTATCTTTCACACTTCTTCTTGCCCAAGATCTTCACTTTCAGGGCAGGACGCCTGGCTCGGCTAGTGAAATAAGAAGCCGGAACCTCAAAAGCGACAAAGAAGGGGGCACAACCAAACTAGAGTCCGATGCACCACCGGGTTCAACCCGAGCGGAATGGAGGGGTCCCCGACATAGTGTCCACATAATTATTGGAGGAACTAACAATCACCAGGGACCCATGTCCAAACGAACGAGAACGTCCGCTGCAGAAGAGGGACCGGCCCGAAAACGCTTACCCAAAGAAACCCTCATATTCAGCGAAGAAGATCTCGAGACCATGATGGAACCGCATAACGACGCGCTAGTAATCTCGTTTCTCTTAAACATCACAAGTGGGGTTGTTCACTATTTAACGGAAAACTGATCCAAACCGAAAACCAAACCAAACCGATATTTTTTTTGATTTGGATTGGTTTTGGTTTTAAATTTTAAAAACCGATAATATTTGGTTTGGTTTTGGTTCTATTATAAAAAATCGAAAATTAAACCGAACCAAATCGATTAATTATATACAAAATTTAATATTTATATACAATATAATATCTTTTTCTAAATAATTTTAAATATTTTATGCAATTTAATTGTTATTTTGAATTTTGGTTTATCCTACTTATATCTTAAAAGATTGCCTAAGCCCAAAATTATAGGAATCAGCCAATTTTCTTTTCCTTAAGAGACTTTAATTCTCTAACCCTCTGCACATACTTTTGCCTAACAGAAGAGTTAAAAAAAATCCTACCATAAGAGTAAAGAAAGCAAACTCAAATTGCAGGACTATAGTGGCTAAAGCTTGAGAAAGCAAACTTTTAGTTGTTTTTTTGTTCATTATTTTTATATAAAGAGGTAAATAAACTTTCAGTTTCGAAAGAAATATATAAAAAAGTATAAATTTAGTAAATTATTTTCAGATTATTGTCTAGTGTTGTTTCACTATTATTGACTTATTATTAGCTTACTACGAACCGAAAAACCAAACCAAACCGAACCAAACCAATGACAACCAAACCAATGGTTTGTATTTAATTTGGTTTGGTTTTGGTATTAAAATTTTAAAAACCGATTAAATTGGTTTGATTTTGGTTTTAATCAAAAACCGATCAAACCGAACCGTGAACACCCCTAATCACAAGGATAAAACGCGTGCTCGTGGATCCGGGCAGTTCGGCCAACATAATCAGGTTAGAAGTACTAGAACAGTTGGGGCTGCTCAATCAAGTTTTTCCCATCCCTCGAGTCCTCCACGGTTTCAACATGATCGGAGAAGAAACAAAAGGAGAGATCACCCTCCCGATCAACACGTCTGGCACAACCCAGAACACCGAGTTTCAGGTCATCGACGGCGACATGAGATACAACGCCTTGCTTGGCAGGCCTTAGATACACAACATAAGGGCAGTGCCCTCGACTTTGCACCAGGTGATAAGATTTCCCACAAGGGATGGCATCACGACCATACATGGAGAACAACGGACGGCAAGGGAAATGTTTGCAATCTACCATGAGACTCCAACCCCCACATACCCGGCCTCAGACGAGGTGAGGAACATGAAGACCCTCGAGGAAGACGAGGAAGGTTTCTTTGCCCCCCGAACTATTGTCGCCCCCGAGGAATCGGATGCGACCAAGTCAACAGTCGAAGAGTTGGAGCAGACCGTTCTGATCGAGAACCTCCTAGATCGCAAGGTATACCTGGGAACGGGGCTGACCCCCGAACTCAGGATAGGGCTTATTCAATTTTTTAGTAACAATATCGACTGTTTTGCCTGGTCCTACCTAGATATGACAGATATGCCACCGGAAATAACCTCCCACCGGTTGAGCGTCGACCCCAAATTCAAACCCGTGAAGCAAAAAAGGAGACCGTAGTTCGAGGTAAAACACGCCTTCATCAAAGAAGAGGTAACAAAACTTCTTAAAATCGGATCCATTAGGGAGGTAAAGTATCCCGAATGACTAGCTAACAAGGTGATAGTACCAAAAAGGGGGAAAAGCTAAGGATATGCGTAGATTATAAAGATTTGAACAAAGCATGCCCCAAAGATTCCTTCCCGCTGCCTAATATCGATCGTCTAATCGATGCTACGGCCGGTCACTAGACCCTCATCTTCCTCGATGCCTACTCGGGGTACAATCAAATCCAGATGAACCCCGAGGATAGGGAAAAGACCTCATTCATTACGAAATATGGTACATATTGCTATAACGTAATGCCTTTCGGACTAAAAAATGCGGGAGCAACATACCAGCGCCTGGTTAATAAGATGTTCGAGCATCAAGTAGGTAAATCAATGGAGGTATATGTTGATGATATGCTAGGCAAATCCCTGTGCGTAGAGGACCATCTAACCTATTTGCAGGAAACTTTCAACATCCTTAGAAGCTACAACATGAAGCTCAATCCAGAAAAGTGTGCCTTCGGGGTAGGCTCGGGCAAATTCCTGGGCTTCATGGTCTCAAACAGGGGGATCGAAATCAACCCCGACAAGATGAGGGCCATCGAAGAAATCACAGTGGTGAACAACGTAAAAGTCGTCCAATGGCTGACGGGGCAGATCGCGGCCCTGGGAAGATTCATATCAAGATCGTTAGACAAAAGCCATCATTTCTTTGACCTACTCAAAAGAAAGAACAACTTCGAATGGACTCCGGAATGCAAACACACCCTAGAAGAACTGAAACGGTACCTGTCTAGCCCGCCTTTTGCTGCATACACCCAAGAAGGATGAAACGTTATACCTATACCTGGCCGTGTCCGAAATAGCGGTAAGCGGCGTACTAGTTCGAGAAGAGTAAGGTACGCAATTTCCTGTGTATTATGTAAGCCGAACCTTGGGGGACGCCGGAACCCGGTACCCCCATTTGGAAAAATTGGCCATCGCACTGATAAGTACCTCGTGCAAGCTGAAGCCTTACTTTCAGTGCCACCGCATTTGCGTTCTATCAACCTACCCTCTCCAGAGCATACTACACAAACCTGAGTTGTCGGGTCGACTGGCCAAATGGGCCATTGAACTCGAAGGATATGATATCGAGTATCGACCTCGGACGGCCATCAAGTCCCAAATCCTGGCGGACATCGTGGCCGACTTATCGCCATCCCTCGTCCCCGAGGTAGAGAAGGAACTTTTACTAAAATCAGGCGCGACCTCCGGGGTATGGACCATATTCACAGACGGTGCCACAAACATTAGAGGATCCGGACTCGGTATAGTCCTAAAGCCGCTCGTTGGCGGCATAATTAGACAGTCCATAAAAACTACAAAGCTAACTAACAACGAAGCCGAGTATAAGGCTATGATTGCAGGTTTGGAGTTGGACAGGGTCTTGGGAGCCGAGATTATCGAGGCAAAATACAATTCGCTCCTCGTGGTGAGTCAAGTGAACGGGAGCTACGAAGCTCGGGAGGACAGGATGCAGAGGTATCTGGATAAAATCCAAATCACGTTGCTCGCTTCAAGGAATGGACCTTAGTCCATGTAACCCGAGAGCAGAACAGCGAAGCCGATGCCCTCGCGAACCTGGGATCATCTGCTGAAGAGGAAGACATGCTCCCCAGAGTTGTCGTCCAATTATTCAAGTCCATGGTCGAGGAAGGGCACGCGAAAATTAATACCACTAGCCTGACATAGGACTGGAGAAACAAATACATTGTTTATCTAAAGGACGGGAAACTACCCGCCGATCCAAAGAACGAGGGCCTTGCGAACCAAAGTGACCCGGTTCTCGCTCGACAAAAATGGGGCCCTATACATGAGAACTTTCGATGGCTCCCTGGCAGTGTGCCTAGGGCCGGGCGACATGGATTATATGCTCCGAGAGATCCACGAGGGCACCTGCGGAAATCACTCCAGGGTAGACTCCCTAGTCTGAAAGGTAATCAGAGCAGGCTATTATTGGGATAGCATGGAAAAGGGCGCCAAGGAATTCGTCCGAAAATGCGACAAGTGTCAGAGATTCGCTCCCATGATCCACCAACCCGGTGAACAGCTACACTCCGTTTTATCACCATGGTCGTTCATGAAATGGGGAATGGACGTCGTCGGCCCTTTGCTAACGGCACCAGGTAAAGCTAGATTCATTCTGTTTATGACTGATTACTTCTCAAAATGGGTGGAAGCACAGGCCTTCGAGAAAATAAGAGAGAAGGAAGTCATCAATTTTATATGGGAACACATCATATGCCGGTTCGAGATCCCGTCCGAAATAACATGCGACAACGAGAGGCAATTCATCGGGAGCAAAGTAACACAGTTCCTTGGGACAACAAAATCAAGAGAATCCTTTCGACGCCATACCACCCGTGTGCGAACGGCCAGGACAAATCCATGAACAAAACCATTATTCAAAACCTGAAAAAGAAATTGGAAAGCGCCAAGGGAAAATGGCGAGAAACGCTGCCCGAGGTGTTGTGGGCATATCGGACGACTCCAAAATCAAGCACATGGGAGACACCTTTCTCCCTAGTATATGGTGCCGAAGCACTAATACCAGTAAAGGTCGGGGAACCAAGCGCCAGATTCCGACACACTAAAGGGGAATCAAATAACGACGCCATGACAACGGCCCTTGAGCTGCACGATGAAAGACGTGAAGCCTCGCTGGTTCGAATGGCTTCCCAGAAGTAGAAAATCGAAAGATATTACAATAAGAGAACGATTCTCTGATATTTCGGAATTGGAGACTTGGTCCTAAGAAAGGTTACACTCAACACCCGAAACCCCAATAAAGGGAAGCTAGGTCAGAATTGGGAAGGGTCGTATCGTATCCTCGGGATAGTTGGCAAAGGCTCTTATAAGCTTGGCACCATGGAGGGCGAGCAGCTCCAGAGCAACTGGAATGTGTCGATGCTCAAGCGGTATTACTGTTAGGGCACCCGGTCATAAAACCCCACAGGAACCCTCGAGAAAACATCGCACTCTTTATCCTCCAATCAAGCTTTTTTATCCCGAAACGGGTTTCTTGTCGGCAGGGTTTTCTAATAAGGAGACGTCCGCACACTCCTTAAGGAAGAATTCAACAGCCTACAGGACTCCCTTCACAGTCAACCCAGCCTCGAAAAAATGACGAACGGGGCTCCGATAAGAGGCAATGCACCGGACCAAATAGCCCGAGGAGCTGCGCCCGCGTGGGCCGAGCTCACAACAATGAAACAATATATGTTTATACCAGGCAATAAAAGAATATATTTCAGCATTTCATACTTCAGAAAAGGGAATTTTGACATACTCGCGGCAATGGACTCTCCGCCGAATGTGTCCCTAGATACTCAGAGACTTAGAATCAACAATTCGACACCCGCACGACCCCAGGGTCGGAACTCCGGGCTCAAGAAACCCCCACACGGCAACTCCGAGAACATAAGAAGTGGTCTTCAAGCTTAAACAAACTCGATGACTCGGAGACTGCCATTAATCGCCATACGCTGGAAAACCCGAAACTGTAAGACCCCTAGCGGGCAGCCTCGGCGTTACCAGATCTATTCTACATTACGCAAACTATAAGACCTCAACAGGCATGAAAATCCCAAAGTTTGGGTTATACGTCGCATTTGTAAGAATCCCTAAAGAGCATACCCTCGGTGTAGACACCTAAACTATCACTCGGGATCAAAAATGGCTACGGCCAAACGCACATGACTATGGTCAAAACGGCTTATACAGCCAAAATAACGCGACTCGAGGATGCCCAACTGTCGCTAAAATTGCAGGCCACTACTTCGAATATACTTTGGAAAGAACCGGTTAAAATAGGCTTCCCTCAATAGGCAAAAATGAGCTCCGACCATGTCGGCTCCAAATCGCAAAAGCATCAATCTACTCGACCCACGAGCTATGAAACTTCTGAGGTGCTCAAAACATCGCCAACAACAACTTGAAATCGAGGTTCTTCCAGAACCGACGACGGGTCAGGCAAAACTATTTCAAAAGACCTTAACGAGCGGAAAACAAAGCCTACAAAAAAGCCCACGGGCAAAAATAGCGTAAGAGCCATTGTCTCCAGCTAAGCAAGCCTCTGGACCACATATTAAAAGGTCTCTACGACCAAACAGCGTAAGAGCCATTGTCGCCAGCTAAAAAATTGACAACTTGAGGATTAAAATGAGCTCAAATCGTAACCCAATTCGGAGACTGAATCCAAAATAGTTAACTATGCAAGCCTCGGGGCCACATATTGAAAGGCCTCAACGACTGAAACAATGTAAGAGCCGTTATCACTGGCTAAGAAATTGGGAAAACTTGAGGGTTAATTATAGCTCGAGTCACAACACGACTCGGAGACTGGACCCAAAATAGTTGGAACGACAAAACGCCCGAGGGCGAGAAATAAAAAGCCACCATCCGCCCATGAAGGTGGAAGAAAACTTAAGGGTCAATTAAAGCTCGAATCGCAACTCGACTCAGAGACTGGACCTGAAATGGCTAAATTACAACATGCCTAAGGGCACGGCATAAATGCCACTATCGCCAGCCAAAGCAAATCTCCGGGCCACGTGCCTGCAAGGTCACTTCAACCCGAAGCACAAAAGGCCATCATCCCCAGCCCAAACAAACGCAAAACTCGAGGGTATATTAAGCTCAAATCGGATCCCGACTCGGAGACTGAACCCGAAGATGGTTAAAACATGCAAGCCTAAGGGCAAATCCGGGATCGAATCAACCCAATTGAAACTCCAACGAGTAGAAATACAAAAGATACAAGTTGCAGGTTTCCCCCTCTTATTGCTACATATTGACGACAAGGCGCAATCTCAGCCTGCGTCGTATAATGAAAACAAAGAAGGCAGGGAATATTCGTTCCCTTTTTCCCGGTAGTTATGGTCCGGTGATCTCCTCCTCATCGTCCTCAACATCGGACATAAGGAACTTGGCATCAAACTCCTCTCCTTTGGCTTGTTCGATCTCCCCTGAAAGATCAAAGCCTCTGGCGTGAACCTCCTCGAGGATTTCCCTCCGAGCCTGCCCGATCAATTCTGGACCTGTGAGGATCCTGTCAGAATACGGAAATCGGCCCGCCTAGCCAAAGGCAACGCAAAAAAAAGGGAGGTAAAACTTCAAGGTTTCTCTCGTTTTACATGTGCACAAAAAGATGTGCTCTCTATCTACAGGCATGCTCTATGAAACAGCAAATGCAAGATGACAAAGTCTACGCTCTATCTCAAAAAAGAATTACGGCCTATCAACCTCGGCCTCGCTCTCCGTAGCATCGACGATAAGAAACCGAGCGTCACGCTTGACCACCTTCGCTCAGGCGAATTGTTATAAGAGGGCAGAATCCCTGGCGCGGGTCCCCTCCGACGCCTGTCCCGAAGAACTACGACGAACACGTCCCTCGAAGGCCCATTCCGACCCGGCTCAATCTTCGGTGACAAGTCGCCACTCCTTCATCATCCTCGGACCAGCGTAACACTTTGCCAGTCCGGACACTGGTTGTTCCCGACCCGGACTTTTGAAGAACCAAGCTACAGCTTCACAATTATATCCACTCAGGTCGAAGCTCGAAGCCTGCATTTTGATACTTCAGGTATTCTTATCCCGATTGGCTCCAAGGATGAAAAGGCGAAACGCTTGCCACAAAGGGACTCCTGCCTCGCCAAAAGGTTCCTCTAAAGCGAAAGCTAGGCCCCCCGAAGTACACCCCTTGGCGGGACAGCTCAAAGACCCAAAATATGGGGGGACCATGCTGAAACATACCACGACGTAAAGCCGACAAACCTACTCAACGACCGAGCATCCTCCTGATGGCCCAACCATTGTTGGCCAAAGGAACCGCCGCTCTGGAACTAAGGACTTCGGAAAGACCGGGCTCGAATGATGCACTCTTCTCAGAAGCACGGGCCCATTTTGTCCCGATGAAAGCTCCTTCATGATCATGAAGCACACGTCTCATCTATCTCCATAGCCGTCCTTTGTCGTTCCCTGAATAAGTAGTTGTTGAGGGCATAACTCGCCGGCATCACAAAGTCAGCGAATCCCGAGGACCCCCAGGAAGCGAAAGCAACCTCACGATCGTATGCAAGAAGGTCCGGGATGAGTCAACACCGATCAAAGGCACCGACCATCAGCACCGCCTTAGGTCTCGAGGTAATGCTCAACCTCGAAGACCTCTGACATAGCAAGATGGTGCCCCAGTAGACCAACAGTACCTTCACCAAATCGGCGTTCAGCCTCGAGGGGTCTCCGCCAAAGAAGGCTAGTTTACGAAGAACTAGGCATCCCTAACAAACGCCCGCGCAAAACATATTCCTGGTAATGACCAAAGTGGCCCGAAACACGGCTAGGCCTCTATTCGGAGATTGCTTCATGGAAGTCACCGGCATCCCAAGACCGCGAGTCCTCAGGGAGTCCCCTCTCAAAAAGCCATTATAAGGCCCCAAGATGTCATCCGCATTTTCACACAGGAAAAGGGTCCCGACAGACCAAGGTTATTGGCCTAGTTCGGGTCTGATTCGAGAAATCACAAAGGACCCCGCGCGAGGTCGCTCCATCAAAGGCCGGGGAAAATACTCAAAGCCAATGTCACAGGCGACAAAATAGGATCGTGCAATCAAAACTGCCGAAAAATATAAAGAAATATAGCAAGCACGAAAAAAGAAATCAAGAAAATACCTTTGTATTTATATAAGTGTTCGTTTACAATGACCCTCGAGGGGTCCTTACATATGGTTACATTGCACGCGATTACAAAATCCCACAGAGGGCCCTTAAAAAAATGACGAAGTACAAATGATACGCATACAGCAGGGGCCTAAGGATCTAGCCTATTCATGCTACGTCTCCATCATCATCCTCTCAAGCATATGACCTCAAAGACAATATCTTCCAAAGTCCGACCCCCTCAAGGACCACATCCCTATCCTCCCGAAATGGCATTTTCAAAAAGAAGTTAGGGGAGAAGAGCAAAACAACGAAGGAGAAGCCAGAAGAATGAAGAAGTTGCTGGGTGAAAATTTTGGCTAGTACGAGCTCCGTTGATACTGCCGTTTTAAAGCCACTTCCTGAGACATTACCTCGGCCCAGAAGGCAACAGCCGGCAGATACTGCTGACATACCCCCCCCCCCCC